CTCCCTAAAACCTTCAAACAAGGTCAGAAATCTAGGGGTAATACTGGACTCAGACTTAAATTTTAATAGCCACATCAAATCAGTAACATCAGCAGCTTTTTACCATCTAAAAAACATTGCCAGGATCAAAAACATAGTGTCTAAAGCAGACTTGGAGATTCTTATCCATGCATTTGTCTCCAGTAGGTTAGACTACTGCAATGGCCTGCTCACAGGTCTGTCCAAACAGGCTGTAAAACAGCTGCAGCACATTCAAAATGCAGCAGCTCGAGTCCTGACTAGAACCAGGAAGTACGACCACATTAGTCCGGTCCTCAGGTCCCTGCACTGGCTTCCTGTGGCTCAGAGAATAGACTTTAAAACAGCTTTGCTTGTGTACAAGTCTCTCCATGGCCTCGCACCAAACTATATTAGTGACATGTTAGTCCCATATGAACCAGCCCGGACTCTGAGGAGCACAGGGACTGGACTCCTGTTAGTGCCCAGAGTCAGAACTAAACATGGGGAGGCTGCTTTTCAGATTCATGCTGCTAAAATCTGGAACAGTCTTCCTGAAGATGTGAGACAGGCCTCCTCTCTGACAATGTTTAAGACAAGGTAGAAAACAGTTCTGTTTAGCTGTGCATACAACTGAGGGATTTTATATTTTTATCTTTTTTTAATGTACTGTGATTATTTATGATTTTAATGCTTTCTTGTTCTGTTCAGCACTTTGAATTGCCTTGTGTATGAATTGTGCTATATAAATAAACTTGCCTTGCCTTGCCTTGGGGAGGGAGCTCTTTTTTCTGACAAGCTCCAGACCATCACTTTAATTACTGATTCATTCATGCTCGTACTATTAACAGCACTCCAAGACAGCCGTTTTGGATGTAACAAAAGTGGACCAGGTTGTTACTTCCACAATGCCCATTTCGTCTGCTGTTAAATTTTTGTTGTTGTTGCATAATGTGAAATCTATAATTACAGATTGATTATAGTTATATGCCCAACGATTAGCAATTATATAGTCTTCTCTGTCCTGTGCATGATGTGTCATGGATCTATTGCATGGGCACAGGGGGTGCCCGAAGTACTGCATGTAAATGAAAACAGCTCAAACTCAGCTCACAGAGAACCTACAGCTTTCATAAAGGTTGGCTTTTGTGGGGATTTTAGTGTCCCTTGTCGGCACGGTGGCTGAGTGGATAGCACTCTCGCTTCTCAGCAAGAAGGTCCTGAATTCGAATCCCGGTCAGAACAGGGCCTTTCTGAGTTTGCATGTTCCCCCCCTTGTCTACGAAGGTTTCCTTCAGGTGCTCCGGTTTCCCCTACCACTAAAAACATGCAAAATAGGTATGAATGTAAATGAGAGAGTAAATGGTTTTCTTTAAATCCACACTTTACTGCCACAAACTCTGCACGTTTCCTTCCCGCTCTGGCTACGCTCTACCGCTACTCTGATCAACAGCACTGATTGGTCAGAGCGAGCCGAGCCCCTCTGTGCACGTGCATGAGAGCCACACACGCGTATTTGCCACAATGCATCATGGGAGCTCGTCTACTGCGCAGAACCGGGAGGACCAAACGATGCCCAAACATGGGCGAGTTCCGCCAATCTTTCAGTCCTTCTGTAAGTCCCTACTGAGCACAAGCCATTCATTTGAATACGGCACCATCTTGGCTCACCGGGTCTTAGTTGGCGTGCACTACTGCCCGGCCAGGTAGGGAGCGTAACCTCGGGTGTTCTGGAGACTCTGGAGATGAGTTGTAGAAGGTCTCTGGATCTAAGTCATGGGGGGACATGTAAACGTACGTTCAGAAGTTCCTGTCGGGTGTATGATTTTAAAGTGGAGGAATTCCACGTACATAACCCTGAGAATAGTTGCAAGATTGCAAAACAAGAGTGACACTGGGCCTCGCGATGAGGATCTTGGATCCTTTCTGAACTAAACATGAAGAGGCAATGTTTCAGATTTATGCTGCTAAAATCTGAAACAGTCTTCCTGAAAATGGGTCATGGAAATTCTGAGAGCTCACTGATCCTCCCACAAGTGGTGAGCCCGCAGGAGGATGGCTTTTCTGTCACATCCTTGGTTTTTCAGCGGGGGCTTCAGGCAGAGTGGGGTAAAGTGTCTTACCAAAGGACACAACGACAGCAAACATCAGTGGGAGTCGATGCAGTGGGGGAATCAAACCCACAATCAATTGTATGGCCCGAAGCCATACAATCAAACAAGTCTCTGTACAGTCAAACAAACTCAAGGACTGGACCCCAAAGATCCTGAACTTCACAATGTACAGTGCCTTGCGAAAGTATTCGGCCCCCTTGAACCTTTCAACATTTCGCCACATTTCAGGCTTCAAACATAAAGATATAAAATTTTAATTTTTTGTCATGAATCAACAACAAGTGGGACACAATCGTGAAGTGGAACAAAATTTATTGGATAGTTTAAACTTTTTTAACAAATAAAAAACTGAAAAGTGGGGCGTGCAATATTATTCGGCCCCTTTACTTTCAGTGCAGCAAACTCACTCCAGAAGTTCAGTGAGGATCTTTGAATGATCCAATGTTGTCCTAAATGACTGATGATGATAAATAGAATGCACCTGTGTGTAATCAAGTCTCTGTATAAATGCACCTGCTCTTTGATAGTCTCAGGGTTCTGTTTAAAGCGCAGAGAGAACCATGAAGACAAAGGAACACACCAGGCAGGTCCGAGATACTGTTGTGGAGAAGTTTAAAGCCGGATTTGGATACAAAAAGATTTCCCAAGCTTTGAACATCTCAAGGAGAACACACCATCCCCACTGTCAAACATGGTGGTGGCAGCATCATGGTTTGGGCCTGCTTTTCTTCAGCAGGGACAGGGAAGATGGCTAAAATTGATGGGAAGATGGATGGAGCCAAATACAGGACCATTCTGGAAGAAAACCTGTTGGAGTCTGCAAAAGACCTGAGACTGGGATGGAGATTTATCTTCCAACAAGACAATGATCCAAAACATAAAGCCAAATCTACAATGGAATGGTTCACAAATAGACGTATCCAGGTGTTAGAATGGCCAAGTCAAAGTCCAGACCTGAATCCAATCGAGAATCTGTGGAAAGAGCTGAAGACTGCTGTTCACAAACGCTCTCCATCCAACCTCACTGAGCTCGAGCTGTTTTGCAAGGAAGAATGGGCAAGAATTCCAGTCTCTCGATGTGCAACACTGATAGACATACCCCAAGCGACTTGCAGCTGTAATTGCAGCAAAAGGTGGCGCTACAATGTATTAGCACAAGTGGGCTGAATAATATTGCACGCCCCACTTTTCAGTTTTTTATTTGTTAAAAAAGTTTAAATTATCCAATACATTTCGTTCCACTTCACGATTGTGTCCCACTTGTTGTTGATTCTTGACAAAAAACATAATTTTTATATCTTTATGTTTGAAGCCTGAAATGTGGCGAAATGTTGAAAGGTTCAAGGGGGCCAAATACTTTCGCAAGGCACTGTATGACATGCCTGTGTTGACAGAGTTGAAGTTGGCTGAATGACACTTTTGTTTGTGTTGCTTTTTGTTAGGGGCAGGAGCCACTTAACATGATAATTAGGGCCGCAAGTGGCCCACGGCTACAGTTTGGACCTGATTTTGACATTTAAAGTAAGAATTGGATGCAACCAATTGAACGCGACTACCAGATGTAACAGGTAGTGGGGAGCATTCTGGCTCCTAGACAGAACCATGGACTCGTGTTCAGGACCATCTCCCGTGTCTCTCCTGTGTCTATAATTGTGCCTCCTCCCAAAGTGCAACCAAAACTCCAAAAAACTAAATTTAAAGCTCGAAAACCTACATTTTCCCCATGCATTAACAATGCATGTTATTTGTACACAAAAGTCAAATGTTGTGAAAAAATCAAACAAATAACACAACAGGGCATGTTTTTTGCATACTTAAGAGCCCACTGAGTCATTATTTGACTTTTTGGGCTGAGAGTGTATTTAAAAAATAAAAAAAATTCCACACAGTTGGTGCTACTCTATTCCCTCATTAACTCATTGTATTGAGAAATAATAAACAAAGCTTAATGTCAAGTCCTGGATGTACATGTATTTTAGCACATTGATGAGAATGACTATATTGTTAATATAGGCTACAGAGTTTGTATTTTTACATTTTCTCCTGGTGGTGTGCCACAAGATTGGATTAGCTGACTAGGTCCACTTGGAGTGGACTGTCAGAGTGTGAAATCAACATAGTTTTAGCTTGAATTAATACAGAAAAGGCCGATTTGAACATAAGCAAGCTGGAGTCATTATCCTCATATTGGCATTTCGTCCATGGTGTAAGCTCCATGCTGTAACAGACGTAGATGGTTCAATAATTTCTAAGTCAAGCTGCCGTTTTCTTCAAATGAAGGAATCTGGTAAATTTTTGTATGGCTCAAATCTAGATTTACAAAAACAATACAAAAAAACCCAATATACAGCAGAATTACAATGATTTTTTTTTAAATACCAATGACAAAAGGGCTAAAATAGTTCTTAAATCTGTTAGTCCTGCATTTAGTGGAGCTATATCTGCGGCCAGAGGGCAGCATCTTAAACTCTGCCCACAGGGAGTGGGTGGCGTCTATGGAGATCTGCTGGCTTTTTTAAAGATCTGAGTCCTATGGACGTCCTAGAGGTCAGGAAAAGTTACTCCAGCATTTTACTCTGAAGATGCTTTTTGTTCTTTACTGATAATGCTCCAAACCAGCAAATAAAACAGAAGGTAAAAACTGATTCAATAAAACAAGAATATAAATTTCATAAACTGTTGACATGAGAGTCCACTTACAAGTCTACTTTCACATGTAAGTCAAAAGGAGCCATAGCAAATTGGAACAAGACTTTGTCCATGAGCACTTCACTATTGGGCTTCATTGAGCTAGCAAGTTAGCTGTCTATCTGTGGCTGTTTATGGTTTGACTACAAATGTGTTGTGTGAGCCGAGAATAACGCGTGTGGATCTGTGCCTCTGCTTCAGTCTCGTGCTGAGATCCTGAAGATCCACACTCGACTCTGGAAACCGGCTCCGTCTGAAGACTTCTTGCAGGAGCTGTCCCAGAAGTGTGTGGGTGAGAGACATGTGACACTGAGGGTCGCAACACAATCTGTTCTGAAACATCACTACAAAGTAACAGACAAATGATACAGGATTATTTTTATTTTTTTTAAATGTAGGAAAAGTGTGGCTTGCGCAGTGAAGGTTCTAACATGAGGTGGTAGTTTGTGGAACCTGCTTTAACTGCAATCACAGGACAATGGCATGACTCCAGCTCTTCAGACAGAAGATTTTATCCATTCCTCTTTACAAAACAACTCACGCTGTGTCAGATAAGATGGCGAGCGTGTGTGAACAGCAGTTTCCACAAATAGACCAGAAAAACCTGAGAGAGACTAGAGAGAGGGCAGAGAGAAATCAGAAAGAGGCAAGAGAGATCACAGAGAGAGACCGACAGAGATGCCAGAGAACGAGATCAGAGAGAGACCAGAGACAGACACCAGAGTGAGACTAGAGAGAGACACCAGAGTAATTGACCAGAGAGAGTCAATAGAAAGCAACCAGTGATAGAGACCAGAGGGAAAGCAGAGAATTATAGTAGTGTACCCTCTTGTGTTCAGGTTACAGCGGAGCAGACGTGCGCGGGCTGTGCACAGAGGCTGCCCTGTGCGCACTGCGGCGGCGCTTCCCTCAGATCTACAGCACGTCTCAGAAGCTGCAGCTGGACGTCGCCTCCATATCAGTGAACAGCGCTGACTTCCTGAACGCCGCCAAGAAGATGAGGCCCACAGCACACCGCTCCCACGCTGTGGCGTCCAGGCCTCTGACTGCCACTGTGATGCCGCTGCTGACCACCACCCTGCAGGGGGCACTGGAGAGAGTGCAGCGCCTGTTCCCCCACGCCATGCAGCCCACGAGCAAGACAGATACCGGTCAGTAAGAGAGACTGAGAGGTCAGTGAGAGAGATAGAGGTCATTGTGAGAGACAGAGGCCCCGTCCCAATACTCGCACTTCCACCCTCGCGCCCCTCATTTGCGCGTTCCCGATAAAGGGTGCGAGTGCGTAGGGTGTCCCAATTCTCCAGGGAGGTATTTGGCCCCGCCCCCTTTGCGCCCCTGATCCACACTTCGCCGTAGCCTGCATCTATGCGCACTCTGGCGAAGGATATTGCCCATAATTCTTTGCGGTACACACCAAAACGACGGGAAAATGCAATTAAAATATAAATTGTGAAATATATATGCAGTATGTGTGTAAATAAGTTTTGCTATGTTACTTGGAAAGAAGCATAAACGTCTGATGAAGAATTACGGACATTGTGCTTTAACAATTTAATAACTTTTTAAAGCAAGCGTTTATATAACATTCAATTTAAACTTTACACTTAGTACAATAATCTTAGAATGTATAAAAACTGACCAGATAGTTAGTTACCCACATTTAACTTAAAATTATACAGCTATCTCTAATTAAAAACAACTAATATAAATGTATTATAACGTGTGTGAAGCAATTCATATTGTTTCCCAAAGGGTCAGACAAAATTACCTTTAATTTTTATAAAGTTTAGGTCTGAAAATGACCATCTCTTGACGAGTCGATGACGTAAACTGCACTCAGTGTGCAATGTCCCAATTCCACCTTTTGTGCACGCTTGCAACCTGCGCACTCAAACCCTTGCGCGCACTTCAAACAAATGCACACTTCATAGGAGGGCGTAGGGTGCAGTGTGGGTATTGGGACTGGGCCAGAGAGGTCAGTGTGTAGACAGAGTAGGGTATGCCAAGTAGGGTATGATAATACCGGATAAACAGACGCTAGTTTTAGCCTGTTTCCGGTACGTGCATGGAGGCCATCCGCAGTGCTGCAGTCAAACTTCAACGCTGTTAAAATCGTAATATCATGAGATTTTAGACTGTGATGTCACTGACAGAGCTGACATAAAATTCTTTAAACTGCGTGCCTTCAGTTAGATTGCACCATGTTAGATGTGTCATTATTAAAGTAATTTGTTATGTACCAGAATCAGAATCATTTTTATTGCCACGTAAGTAACAGGAAGTCACAGACTTGGAAATTGCTTTGGCTCAGTGCAACGGTCAGAAAGAGAAATGTGTCAATCAAACTAGTTTTTAAAGTGGTTAATTGACTTCCAGTTCAAATTCCTTCTCTTCTACAGCTCTCATGGCTGGTCTCCAAGGCGACGACCAGATCTGCGGAGGCTCCCGCATCTCTGCATCAGGGAAGAGAAGGAAACCACTTAACTTTACCAGGTCTGAGAGCTGATAGAAGAGCTGTTTTAACTGGACACTGTCACAAGGCAAAAATAAATTAATCCAAAATGCAGAGCTGAAAAAAATTACAAACTCAAAATCCAGAGTAAACACAAAAAGTTACCAAACAGGGACTGACAACAAGAACTAAAACAGACTTGGAAATTAATTATGGAACAGGGAGTGAAGGACGACACAGGGTTAAACACAAGATAAGAGGGCAGGGCTGGTCATCAACAGGAAGTAGAACTAAGTAAGATACAGGGGTAACAACTTACAAATAAACTAAACCATGACAGACACAACTAAAAGAAAGCAGATTGAAGAGCTGTCCTCCCTCTTCACAGGAGCGCGGTCGCACAGCCCTGCTCTCACAGGCCACGCCTCCTCATTGTTGGAGGACCAGCCTCGGGACACACCGCACACTTGGCGCCTGCTGTGCTTAACGCGCTGGAAAGGTTACCCCTGCACAGCCTGGAGCTCAGCGTCCTCTACGGGACCAGCCATACCACCGCTGAGGAGAAGTGTGCCCAGGTGAGAGCCTCAAGCTGGTGTCCGAACCTCAGTCACATCAATAACACATGTTTGTCCAACATAGGAACTCTCCTTCAAGGCTTATATAAACCAAGCAACTAAAACAGCATATTTCCACTTTCCCAACATCGCTAAAATCAGGACTTTCCTTCCTAAAAGAGACGCAAAAAATACAGTGGCAAAAGATCTTAACGTAAACCATAACTCCGGTGTTAAAATCCCTCCACTGGCTTCCTGTGTATTACAGAATAAAATGTATATCCTTCTTCTAACATACAAAGCCATAATTGGCATGGCTCCTTCTTACCTCCAAGACCACCAACCAAACCAGGCACTGCGCTCTCAAAGCAGACACTGTCTCTACATTCAAGGCCAGGCTCAAAACAGTCCTCTTTAATTTAGCATATGGTGAGGTTGTTTGTCTGATCTCTCCGTCTGCTTGTACGGGACCTGGTCTGGCGAACCGCTATATCTTTCAACCTTTGTTACAAGCTCGAGCCTAGTATCAGTGCTCACTTCGCTATGTATCATGGATTGAAGACTTTCTTTGGTGCTGTGGCCTAGGCTGGCCTGGCCCATGGCTGCTGCTGTCTCTCTGGCCTCTCATTCAAGGCCAGGCTTGGGACAGTCTTATTCAATTTAGCATATGGTTAGGTAGGTTAGACTCAGGGAAGACTAAAAATCTTAGCTTGTCAGTCAAGCTGCGTAGGGAGTCAGTTTTCTGGGAGAAGTATGGTAACTTGAGAACTATCCTCTCCTCCTCTACTATATCTGTCTGCATTATTAGGATTTTGACTGTGGTGTGTTCACTACTATCCACTCGTTGTACCATTGTCTGTTTCATGGCGCGACAACGGGACCTCTGAACCTAGCCCTCTCCATTTACACCTGCGGACTGCCCTGCCCGACCCGCCTTGTGGGCTGCACCCCCTCCCCGCCTGGGAGTCGCTTCAGTCCTACCCCGCACCTGTCCTCGTTCTACAATTGCTGCTTGGACTTGGTCCTCGTTCTGTAGCTTAAGGGCGACAGTTGCTCAGTTGGTAGAGCATTGGCCTTTGAGCCAGAAGGTCATGGGTTCGAGCCCACCTCAAGACATTCACCATCGACTCCCACTGTCTGCTGTCATTTGCTGCTTGGCAAGACACTTAACCTCTGGCAACATCATGCCACAGTGGGGCGGCTGTAAAGTGCCAAACTGCCGTTGTGTCCTTAGACAAGACACTTCACCCCCATTGCCTAGAATGAGTGGTGTGTGTGAGAATGGGTATTGGTGGTCGGAGGGGCCGATGGCACATACTGGTTGCCTCGCTTCTGTCAGTGTGCCCCAGGGCAGCTGTGGCTACAGTAGTAGTTTTATCACCACCGTGTATGGAGTGAAAGAATAATGACATGTAAAGCGTCTTTGAGTGTCCAAAAAGGCGCTAAACTGATGCATTAAGTCCTGGATCTATAGCCCGTCCGTCCGTGTGGAGCGGATCCCTCTCTTAATGTGGATCTCTCTGAGGTTTCTCACTTTTTTCCCACTGGGTTTTAGAGTTTTCCCTTGCAGATGCAAGAGAATTTATTCGACTGTTAGTGGTCTAACAAGAAGGACTGTGGTGATGATCCAGGACACTCTACCCTCTACAACATTTATGGACATATATCAACATTCATAGACATTGGTCAACTCCCCCTATGGACCAATACCTCTTTGTTCTATATTTTTTGTGTCTTAACTGTTGATTCTCTGATCTGTGTTGGCGATTTCAACGGTTATGTTAAGTCCTCTGAGATGACTACTGTTGTGATTTAGGGCTTTTACAAGATGTAGTTGGATAATCTGTGTTTTTAAACGTAAGGTTTTATCCCTGAGTGTCCTGTAGGGGGCACGCTCTGTGTTCTCTGAGGCTCCTGCAGGGGCCGCTGTAACCCTGTGTTCGTCCTCAGGTATTCTGCGAGGCTCAGCGCTCCTCCCCCAGCCTTCTCTATCTGCCTCACCTGCACCTGTGGTGGGAGACAGCAGGGGGCACTCTCCGCTCCTCTTTCCTCACGCTGCTGTCGGGGATCTCCACCTCTGCTCCTGTTTTGCTGCTGTGTACCAGTGACCGGCGGCAAGAAGACCTGGACCCCGAGGTGAGGAACCACAACTGCATATAGAGTGTGTGTCTGTGTTTTGTAAGTAATTTATATAGCGCATTTTGCAGACCAAGGTCACCCAAAGCGCTTTTCAGTGTTCAGATATCAGATGTTTTTTACATTCACAGTCTAAAAATTGTGTGTGTGTGTGTCTGTGTGCATTCTTCTGTTGCAGGTTGCGTGCTTATTCCAGCAGAAGTATGGCGAGGTGTTTGAGGTTACAGCTCCATCTGACGCAGGGAGAACCAAGTTCTTCAGGGACCTCATTCTGAATCAGGCCACTGAGGCCCCGCCCCCTAAAGGAGGTGAGGCCTTGCCCCCTAGAGAAGCTGAGACACCGCACCCTACAGCATGATTAAATCCTAGTTAGGGCCCGTCCCAATTCTGAGGGCACTCGAGTTGTGAGTGCCCTCAACTGTAAAGTGCCCTTCCATAGGGGAATGCACTCGTGGGATATTCTCCCTAAGAAATAGGACACCATGGATCTAGGCAACAATATGTAAACGTGTTCCAAGATATGACACGGACATGACTTTATGAAACAAAGTATTTATTAAAGTGAGACATTTTTAATTGTATTTCATATAAGTTTTCAAAGTGATGCTCTGAAAAAAATCATGGATCTATAATAATACAATGGATCCACGTCTCTGAAGCCTCAGTGAACGCCACGCTTAGAAAAAACCTCTGAATTACGCGCATGCTTTGAAGCTTCCTCATATTCCACACAAACATGCACTCGGGTGTTTCATGTGTGTTGTTTTCTTTCATTGTGGCGCAGCTTTGCCTGACAACTACTTCCAACTATTCTAATGCATCATGGGATCACCCTTGTGGGCAAGTCGCTATTTTAAGGGAAGTGCACTTGACTCTGCTCCCCAAGTATTGGGACACCCTACAACCCACGCGGGCACGCCCAAAATAAAGGGCAAGGGTACATTTTAAGGGCTAGGGTGAGAATTGGGATGGCGCTTTACTGCTTCCGTGAGAGGGCTAGGGTGGTGTGTGCTTCTGTGAGAGGGTATAAAGCGTTACTTTTTCCAACGTTCATATTTTGACGCTCTAACGTGCCCCCCTCCCGTGCCTCAGCAATGCGCCATCTGGAGATCCTGCCCTTGGCTCCACCCCCTCGCCCTCGCCAGCTTTCGGCTCAGGAGATGCGTCGTGTGGAAGAACAGGAGGAGGACATGCAGCGGGAGCTCAGGTGCTTCCTCAGACACATCACAGAGAGGCTATATCTGGACCGACGCTTCAAGACCTTCACCAAACCAGTGGATACGGTGCAGGTGTGTGACTCAGAACCTAGGGCTAGAGTTTAGGGCTGAGGGTTTAGGCCATATCCCTGTGATGTCACAGTGCTGTCACGGTGATGTCTTGGTCTGGCAGGTCCCAGATTACCTGCAGGTCATCAAACAGCCCATGGACCTATCCTCTCTGCTCACCAACATCGACAAACACAAGTACATCACCGTCAATGAGTTTGTGAGAGATGCCGACCTGATCTGGAACAACGCTCTGACGTACAACCCAGACAGCGCCACCTTGGGTGAGACCAGAGTACTACACTGTGACACAGCGACCTCTACAGACTAGAGTACACAAGCATATTGTAGTTAAAGCAGTTTGTTTTGCTGTTTTGTACTTTTGATGTGTGATTAGAATTGAGCAAGTAATAATGTGACGTCTTTCCTCAGTGACTTTATAACCATAACATGATAAAACGTGTTTCAGACCGGAAAATTCGGCACCGCGCCCATGCCCTGAAAGACGCACTCCATGCCATCATCAGGGAACACCTGGACCCAGAGTTTGAGAAGGCCTGTGAAGCGATGAAGGAGAGGAGAATGAGGAGAGGTGAGTGCTACTGTTACTGCTAGTACTACTATGGACCACCTGCAGGTGAAATCAAGATGCTGTCAGGCCTCTGAAGTTAAGCAGGGCAGACCTTTGTTAGTACTGTGATGTGAGACCTCTGGAAACACCAGGTGCCACTATGAATGTGTCCTTAGGGCAAGTGTCTTGCCTAGGGACACACATTGTCTGGAATGACTCTGGTGGGTGCGTTGGTGGTGGTCGAAGGAGCCGATAGCAAGTACTGGTTGCCTTATAGTTTATCACCACCATGTATGAAGTGGATGAATAATAACACGTGAAGTGTCTTTGAGTGTCCTCAAAGATACTGTATCAAATTTCAATTATAGAGATTGAGACCTCTGCCTCTCCTGATGCTGTCTCTCATCAGAACCTCCTGATGTTGTCTCTCATAGAACCTTCTGATGTCTTTCTCTTTCTCCCACAGCTGCATTGTTGAACTCTGAGAACAACCCACGGCAGCACAGTGAGTCTCACAACTGTGTCCACTCTGTGTCCACTCACATCGAAGCACACAATTCAGCACAAGACTTCAGCACAAGGGTTGCCAAATGCTGGCAAGATTTTCCAGCCCTAAACCAGCGAGAATTCCCCAAAAAAAAAACACCAGAATGATTTTTTTGGCTAAAAAAGTACTGCAATCAACTTGGGCTATCATAATTCTGTCTTTGTCTTTCTGTCTATTTATTACCTACAAGCAGCTTGGAAAAAAATTATGCGGGAAACCACCCAACCTGGCAACCCTGCTGCGTTGTGTTGTGCACTTAAACAGTACTTAAACCAAACTTTACATGAGCATTTTACTTTTAAAACACACATATAACAACATAGAACCATCAACATCTCGCCTCAAATTGCATTAAAAGTGACATCCGTGTCTGTACAGTCTGACAGCAGCAGGAAGGAAAGCCAGACTCCTTCAGACAGCGAGAGTGGATCTGTCTGTAACTGAAACTGCTCTCCAGTGCAGACAGAGTGTGGGGGGGATGTACAGTGCCTTGCGAAAGCCCCTTGAACCTTTCAACATTTCGCCACATTTCAGGCTTCAAACATAAAGATATAAAAATTAAATTTTTTGTCAAGAATCAACAACAAGTGGGACACAATCGTGAAGTGGAACAAAATGTATTGGATAATTTAAACTTTTTTAACAAATAAAAAACTGAAAAGTGGGGCGTGCAATATTATTCGGCCCCCTTGCGCTAATACTTTGTAGCGCCACCTTTTGCTGTAATTCCAGCTGCAAGTCGCTTGGGGTATGTCTCTATCAGTTTGCACATTGAGAGACTGGAATTCTTGCCCATTCTTCCTTGCAAAATAGCTCGAGCTCAGTGAGGTTGGAGGGAGAGCGTTTGTGAACAGCAGTCTTCAGCTCTTTCCACAGATTCTCGATTGGATTCAAGTCTGGACTTTGACTTGGCCATTCTAACACCTGGATAAGTCTATTTGTGAACCATTCCATTGTAGATTTGGCTTTATGTTTTGGATCATTGTCCTGTTGGAAGATAAATCTCTGTCCCAGTCTCAGGTCTTTTGCAGACTCCAACAGGTTTTCTTCCAGAATGGTCCTGTATTTGACTCCATCCATCTCCCCATCAATTTTAGCCATCTTCCCTGTCCCTGCTGAAGAAAAGCAGGCCCAAACCATGATGCTGCCACCACCATGTTTGACAGTGGGGATGGTGTGTTCAGGGTGATGAGCTGTGTTGCTTTTACGCCAAACATATCGTTTTGCATTGTGGCCAAAAAGGTCGATTTTGGTTTCATCTGACCAGAGCACCTTCTTCCACATGTTTGGTGTGTCTCCCAGGTGGCTTGTGGCAAACTTTAAGCAAGACTTTTTATGGATATCTTTGAAAAATGGCTTTCTTCTTGCTACTCTTCCATAAAGGCCAGATTTGTGCAGTGCACGACTGATTGTTGTCCTATGGACAGACTCTCCCACCTCAGCTGTAGTTATCTGCAGTTCATCCAGAGTGATCATGGGCCTCTTGGCTGCATCTCTGATCAGTCTTCTCCTTGTTTGAGATGAAAGTTTGAAGGGACGGCCGGGTCTTGGTAGATTTGCAGTGGTCTGATACTCCTTCCATTTCAAAATAATTGCTTGCACAGTGCTCCTTGAGATGTTTAAAGCTTGGGAAATCTTTTTGTATCCAAATCCGGCTTTAAACTTCTCCACAACAGTATCTCGGACCTGCCTGGTGTGTTCCTTTGTCTTCATGGTTCTCTCTGCGCTTTAAACAGAGCCCTGAGACTATCAAAGAGCAGGTGCATTTATACGGAGACTTGATTACACACAGGTGCATTCTATTTATCATCATCAGTCATTTAGGACAACATTGGATCATTCAAAGATCCTCACTGAACTTCTGGAGTGAGTTTGCTGCACTGAAAGTGAAGGGGCCGAATAATATTGCATGCCCCACTTTTCAATTTTTTATTTGTTAAAAAAGTTTAAATTATCCAATACATTTCGTTCCACTTCACGATTGTGTCCCACTTGTTGTTGATTCATGACAAAAAAAATATTTTTTATATCTTTATTTTTGAAGCCTGAAATGTGGCGAAATGTTGAAAAGTTCAAGGGGGCCGAATACTTTTGCAAGACACTGTATATACAGTGGGGCAAAAAGTATTTAGTCAGCCACCGAATGTGCAAGTTCTCCCACTTAAAATAATGACAGAAGTCTGTAATTTTGAGCATAAGTACACTTCAACTGTGAGAGACAGAATATGAAAAAGTCCAGGAATTCACATTGTAGGATTATTAAAGAATTTATTTGTAAATTATGGTGGAAAATATGTATTTGGTCACTTCAAACAAGGAAGATCTCTGGCTCTCACAGACCTGTAACTTCTTCTTTAAGAAGCTCTTCTGTCCTCCACTTGTTACCTGTATTAATGGCACCTGTTTGAACTCCTTATCTGTATAAAAGACACCTGTCCACAGCCTCAAACAGTCAGACTCCAAACTCCACTATGGCCAAGACCAAAGAGCTGTCCAAGGACACCAGGAAAAGAATTGGAGACCTGCACCAGACTGGAAAGAGTGAATCTACAATAGGCAAGCAGCTTGGTGTGAACAAATCAACTGTGGAAGCAATTATCAAAAAATGGAAGACAAACAAGAACACTGATAATTTCCCTCGATCGCAAGTTTTCATCCCGTGGGGTCAAAATGATCATGAGAACGGTGATCAAAAATCCCAAAACCACACGGGGGGACCTGGTGAATGACCTGCAGAGAGCTGGGACCAAAGTAACAAAGGTTACCATCAGTAACACACTACGACGACAGGGAATCAAATCCTGCAGTGCCAGACGTGTCCCCCTGCTGAAGCCAGTGCATGTCCAGGCCCGTCTGAAGTTTGCCAGAGAGCACATGGATGATACAGCAGAGGATTGGGTGAATGTTATGTGGTCAGATGAAACCAAAGTAGAACTGTTTGGTATAAACTCAACTCGTCGTGTTTGGATACTTATTTGCATCCCAAGAACACCATTCCTACTGTGAAGCATGGGGGTGGAAACGTCAGGCTTTGGGGCTGTTTTTCTGCTAAGGGGACAGGACGACTGATCCGTGTTAAAGAAAGAATGAATGGGGCCATGTCTTGTGAGATTTTGAGCCAAAACCGCCTTCCATCAGTGAGAGCTTTGAAGATGAAACGTGTCTGGGTCTTCCAGCATGACAATGATCCCAAACACACGGCCCGGGCAACGAAGGAGTGGCTCCGTAGGAAGCATTTGAAAGTCCTGGAGTGGCTTAGCCAGTCTCCAGACCTCAACCCCATTGAAAATCTGTGGAGGGAGTTGAAAGTCAGTGTTCACTGCTCTCGAGAAGATCTGCATGGAGGAATGGGCCAAAATACCAGCTACTGTGTGTGCAAACCTGGTAAAGACCTATAGTAATCGTTTGACCTCTGTTATTGCCAACAAAGGTTATATTACAAAGTATTGATTTGAATTTTTGTTATTGACCAAATACTTGTTTTCCACCATAATTTACAAATAAATTCTTTTAAAAATCCTAAAATGTGAATTCCTGGATTTTTTTTCACATTCTGTCTCTCACAGTTAAGTGTACCTATGATGAAAATTACGGACCTCTGTTATTATTTTGAGTGGGAGAACAATCGGTGGCTGACTAAATACTTTTTTGCCCCACTGTATTAGAGTCCAGTTTGTTCAGGTGAACACCCAGGTACTTGTACGAGTCCACTTCCTCAATATCTCTTCCCTGGATGTTTACTGGGGATGGAGTAGTGAACATCAGGGTTTCAGTTGATGAGAACGTGGTTCATCTCCTTGGTCTTCACCGTGTTGGTGAGGAGGTGGTTCTGCTGACACCAGTCCTGTGTTAGTCTGCTGTACTCTGCGTTGTCGTCCTCAGTGATGAGTCTAATGATGGCAGAGTTGTCAGGGAACTTCTGTAGGATACAACCGTTTGTGTTGTCTGAAGTCCGCAGTGTAGAGGGTGAAGAGGAACGGAGCGAGGATGGTCTGCTGCGGAGCACACACACCACACCAGAGACTAGAGAGCGAGAGAGATCAGAGAGAGAAAATATTGAGATCCTCGTTGATTGTTTCAAGAAACTAAAATGGAAAGATGTTTCAGTTGCCGTCCACCACAATATGAAACATCACCCTTTGGAACGTGCTGATGTCACATGATCACAAACTATTAATATATAAACCCCGTCTTTCCAAACCCCACCCGCACCCTCTCCTCAGTGCTGAAGAAAAAACGGCCCCGTAGAAAGTCTAAGTGGAGCACTGGAGTCATCCCCAAACCCAAGAAAAAGAAAGTTCCTGCGGCGACCCCTGCTGCCTTGTCTGAGTCCTGCTCCTCGCTTTCCTCCCTATCTGATGCCTCAGAGGATAGTGATGTCATTCACCATGATGTCACACGCACTCGGAACGGTGATGTCATAGCAGAACATCGAGGTCTGACCAACGGCTTCCACAGCAGCTCACCCCGAGGAGGTCTGTGTCCGTGCCAAGAGCGCTAACGTGAGTGCTAACCCTGATCCTAACATGAGTGCTAACCCTGATCATAACCTGAGAACTAACCCTGATGCTAACGAGAGCACTAAGTCTGATGCTAACGTGAGCACTAACCCTGATGCTAACGTGAGTCCTGATGCTAACGTGAGCCCTGATGCTAACGCAAGCACTTAGCCTAATGCTAACACGAGCTCTAACTCTGCTGCTAACGCGAGCACTAACCCTGATGCTAATGTAAGCACTAACCCTGATGCCAACGCGAGCACTAAGCCTGATTCTAACATGAGCAGAAATCTTGAGCTTATTTGAGCTAACTAATCCTCATGGAGCCTCTGAGTTAGCTCTAATCCTCTACAGTCTGTGCTAACTTTTGTAGTTCAACACAGTTCTTAATGTTAGCGCTTGAACCAATCAGTGAGTTCCGCCGCACAGGTGGGCTCTAATGCTTCTGTTGTGACGCAGATTCCAAGGAAAGTTTATTCATACTCAAAGCATACACAAGGAAAACATTAGAATATAACTGTGTGTCTCTAACCCCCAATGTGTGTATCCAACTCCCTGTGTGTGCATTTAACTCCCTCTGTGTGTCTCAGAGCGTCAGAAGAAACTGGCAGAGAGAGTGATGACCGAACAGATGCAGCTGCTCGGCGGAGATGATAACGAGAGAACCACACTGCCCCTAGTGGTGGATCGCAGCAAGCTCAGGGTGAGTGGCCCTAGAAGATGATGCCAACCCAGACTGTATACAAATGGTTTACGTTAACACAGACTGTATACATATGGACAATGCTAACCCGTGAGCTGAAAGAAGCCCATTAAGGAAGCGCTCAGTGAGGTTTTGTTCCAACGCTCTGGCTCCGACTGACTCCAAAACTCTTCTAGCTCAGTAATCATTTGTGTCACACTCACCAAATATCTGTGGTTTAGCCAGTGGGGGCGGGTCCCGGCTCCAAAAGGTCCATGAGCATGTGTGCTGACATGCTTGCAATGTCACTATAGCCGGTGGGGAAGGAGAAGGAAAGAGAATTACGGCAGCACAGACTGATAACAGCAAAGAAAAACACTGAATATGTATAAATGGAAGAGTACTAGGTAACATGAGGGTTATTAAGCACCGTCTTGATGAACTGAATTAAATCCAAATCAAGCTTAAACCTAGTTATCTAGTATGTGTGTGTGACCAGTTATGTCAGCCACATGTCCTTCTACATACGCTATTTGTGAAGAGCAAAAAAGTAAAAAAGACTAGACATGTAAGGCAACTAATTGAATACAAAATTGCAAAAGAATTGTGTTGAAATACATATTGAGAAAACCTTGTGATAGAGCTATATTAGTTTGTCCAAAGCAATTTTGGAATTTAGTCTGCAGTACCGCTGGCGCCCCCTGTGCCCATTGGTGGGACAGCTATTAACTAGTAATACCCTATGCAAATTTTATTATAGATCCATGGCCAGGAGTAGGGCGCACAGTTGTGATGTCACAGGTTGGGTCACATGGCACACAGGTTGTTGTGTAAAATTATTTTATTTCTATATTCATCATTTATTCCGCATGTGTTTACACTTTCATTTGTTGAAAGGAATTATTATTATTATTTTTTTCTTATTGCATACGTTTCAATTATTAGAGAAATTGTTATGATTTTTGTTAATTGGTTTGGGGGGAGGAGCTTCAGGGTATAAGGGAGGGCTGTCAGAGCCACAATGTGTATGGAAGTTGGATGAGGAGGATGCTGTGCACCTGCTGACACAATCGCCAGACTATGTCCAGGATACCCCTGCTGGTCAGTTACTGTATATATCTTTGTCATGTGTGACAGAGGGCATACCCGCATTCGGCACAACATCCAATCGAACCACATTGTTTTGATTAGACAGAGGCCAACCTCACGGAACAAGCTATAAATCCATGGGCCAGACAACAAACATGAATGCACTAGCGAAATTATTTCTAATGGGTTGTTCAGACCGACGACGCTGGAACGCAACTTCCATGCGGACTGGATGCACTAAATTTCAGACGCAGAATGAAGTGCTGCTCTGGGGAGGAATAGAACGGTGCATTGAGGAAGTGGAGAGTTCCGGTCCGGCGTGTATAGGCTTATGAGTTTGTATCTTGGTTGCAGTGTGCCCCGTGTTAAATCTCTGTTTATGATTTATTTGTCAAATTGGTTTAGATCAGGGGTGCTCAATACGTCGATCGCGATCTACCAGTCGATCGCAAAGGTAGTATTGGTAGATCGCATTAAATAAATAAAAAATTAGACATTCTAAACAAATATATACAAAAAACTCCGGGCAAAGTGGAGATTTTTGAAAACTCTGTTAATGCATTTGTGTGTAGACAGAGATAACCAGAGTTTTGCGTTCTCGCACGCCACAGTACCCCCCTAAATTCCTCTGATCACTGAAGCATGGATCATACTACCTTAAAAACTGTTCGCTGTGAGATGCTCGCAGCAGCGAACACCCTCCACATCAGAGAGCAGCAAAGTGATCGCGGGGACTCACGCTCGAAAACAACCAAACCAGGACTAAACCAGGACTAAACCAGGACTAAACCAGGGCTGAGGACGGGGTCAGTGCTTGTAAACATACGTCTTACTCTTTACTCTGAGTGTCTTCTATGACTGTAAAAGTGCCGTTACCGACGTCTGCATCAAAGCTCCGCCCACTTCTGTGTTTTTCCCCAACGCAGGACAGGACGTAAGAGACGCACATGTTTGGAATGTTACGAATGTGATTGATAACGCAGATGTGTGGATGCAAATTATTTTATAAACGGAGGAGGGGAAATATTTGGATTTAAAAAAAACAGGCATGGCACATGGACATGGCCCCACAGTCAAATGACATCTGTGTTTTACTCAGTAATGTTTTACTGACACTTAGGTGACTGCACATGCGCAAACAACCGCACAGTGCAGGAAAGCTAAACCACGACAAACTTGTCAGCGAGTTACCACCTATTTCCCGGACTATGCATCCCTGGCCGATTCAATTCAGTGCAAGTCATAAGAGTAAACTCGGGTAATGACAAAAATTGTACATAGGTAATTGTGTTGTGTTGTGCTATATTGGCTCATGCGGTTTTGCATGTACATAAACATACATTGTAGATATAAAGAATATTTTTTGAAATATATGATTTGCATTTTTGTAGTAGGTAGATCATTTTGACTTGATCCTTTTATAAGTAGCTCGCATGCTGAAAAAGTGTGAGCACCCCTGGTTTAGATTGTTGTTAGCGTTGGCATATGGGGGGAGGACGTTTGTGGGGCAGCTGGCCCCAAGTGCCAAAATGAGACGGCAGAACTCATAATAAAAAGTGTAGATCCAAGACTTACTATTGGACAAAGCAACAAACAGTCCTGTCCCTTGGGTCTGTCTTCCTTATAAGGATCACCTGGGAGATTTTAACCTTGTGGCTCCACCCACAGAACACAAAATGGCTGACAAGGACACACGCCTCTTCTACAGGTATAAAATACATGAATTACATAAAAGTGGCATTTAAAGGGTCAAAGTAACCTGACAAAGTTGAAAAAGTAGTGACTGGAACAGCAGAGAGATTTCTTGAAAGGGACAGAGTAGTGCCTGAGGATCTTTTGGATTTTATGAAACAAAAAATTGAAGGAGTTGAAGTGCATATGACAGATACAATAAATCATTTGAATTCCCTCTCATATATTTTCTTCATCCCAAGGACATGATAAAAGTCCTCATTAAATAATAACCCTTAGTCACATGACGTGATGTAGGATAAGGGAGTTGAACTTGCCGCACTCTAGTTAATGTTATCACTCGTAGTAGCCTATATTTTTTTTTCTCAGTCAAGTTGTCGGGGCAACAGTGGCTCTTGTAGTGGTTCGAGCCCACTACAAGACCTACTTCAAGACTCCCACTGATGACTGCTGTTTAGTTGTGTCCTTGGGCAAGACACTTAACCCCACTTTGCCTGAAGCCCCTGCTGAATAATCAAGGCTCCTGTGGACTCACCACCTGCAGGAGGATCAGTGAGGGGCTGGTGCTGTGTGTACTGGGTGCAGCTCTGACTGCCACCCCCCCGACCCCAGAAATTGATTAAGGGGAAGAAAATGGATGGATGGATGGAATTTGTCGTTTATTTTACTCTCCTTTATTTTAATAAAAATGGTGAACTATCGTGGTTGTGGAAATATACTGGGTGCATTTGTAGACAAAGAGGAAGGACTTTACCACAGCCTCTGTGACCACGAGCTCTGTGATTTGTGAGGCTCATTTCAAGAAAGAGGACTATCAAAGCATCATTTTATAAACGGCTATATAATAATCATGTTCACATGGAGACTGTGGTCCAGGCGGGTGAAAACGTAAGAGTTAAGATCCAGCCTGTAGAGTGGGACAGCTCAGATACAATGCTCAGCGGGGCTCTCTGTCAGACCCGCGTGAAGAAAAAGGTGTGAATTCTCTGCCCGCTATGACCCCCACCTCCCTGCTGCTCCCCGCACGTACATTTGGACATGCGCAGTAGCCGAGAACAATAATGTAAACAACAATGGGCCTCATTCACGAACCGTACTTAAGAACAAATTTGTGCGTAAATCCTACTTACAAAGATTTTACGAAGATTGTGGTATTCATGAAATTTTCTCGTAACCAGAATTTCTCTTGGGTACTGTTGGCACAAATGATTTGACCGACGTGTTCAGAATTTGGTACAGAAATAAGGCCAAGATTCAAGAGTTCCAATAGTACATTTATTTCTCTTTACAATTAAATGTTGATACAGAACTCCCGGAGCTACTCCCTAAATCTCTATCCCTGTGCTCTCACTTCCCCCAATGTGTCCTCCCAACGGTTTTATCAGAATCTCCGATGACGTCACATGGTCTGACGCTGGTCCCAGTCTGGTTTAGTCCAGTTTTGTGTCTCAGGCCGCTAGAGACACGCTGTTCCTGAAAATGATACTTTTATCACAGAAGCCTTGTCCTTGGTGCTTGTCTGAATTCCATTAAATCCAGGCTTTAATATTGCACAAAGACATGTTTGCAAACACCTACTGGAAATCATTAGTATACAACATTATAATTCTACATCAGTACGTACAAATCCTACGAATGCTCAGGAGCACTCATACGCACATTCAGTGCCGACATGTTCGCACGCTGGTGTTATGAAGTTCAATAAAACACAACATTACAGTGATGTGTCCGTCATATGTATTTATTTATTTAATTGTAATGGTAATTTAGCCTATTTTTTGAATTCCTTTTGAAATGAAATGTGCCAAAGCTTTATCAAATACATTGGAAATCTTGCCGTGTATTCGTGACCCCATCCTATTTATTGGGGGCATTTCTTTATCCACGGGCCACAGAACAATGGCATATATGGCTGAGTCTCCGCGCTGGTCTCTCCCATGGATATATACGGGTCTGCACTGGTCTCTCCCATATACGGGTCTGCACTGGTCTCTCCCATGGATCTATACGGGTCTGCGCTGGTCTCTCCCATGGATCTATACGGGTCTGCACTGGTCTCTCCCATGGATCTATACGGGTCTGCACTGGTCTCTCCCATGGATCTATACGGGTCTGCACTGGTCTCTCCCATGGATCTATACGGGTCCGCGCTGGTCTCTCCAGTTTGGTCTATGTGGTTCCTCTTCGGTCCGCGCTGGTCTCTGCGCACCGGTCTCTCCAGTCAGGTCACTCCAGTCTAT